TCAACAACACAAATGAAGCTATAATGGTAAATCGTCTGCTGAATTTATGTTTAAAAATATCAAACTTTCGATTAAAATCGTCTGCGGTCGCCTAGCAACACTTACTGTTGCCAAGGCCAGAAATATAAATAGCAACCCTCGTATACTAAACTTTTAGCAAGTTCCACTGATATCGAGTTTCATAAGATATGGGGTATAAAGACAAACTATGTCCTTAAGGTTTTTTCTTCCAAGAAACTTTGTAAAAAATTTTACTATTTTTATTTGCAAGACAAAATATCTCTTTTGCTCTAAAAATAAATTTATTTAATATTTAAAAAAAACTCTACTTTGGTAGCTATTTTTAGTAAGTACACAAAAACTGGTTTTTCTGACCTGTAAATATAAAACTGGGTAAGTATAGAAATAAGCAAAAGTTACTCTTTTTCCCACTGAAATATTTATTTATAGCAAACTTAGTAATATTATGATCTTTCTACACTGAGGAATATACACAGACTTTAAAATTAAGGAATTTACTACATGGAATTCCTCGTAAATTAAATAAATTGATCAAATTCGAACACAGAAACCACAAATAAAGCATTTATCATATTCTTTTGCCATGCTACTGGCTTCATGTTAGACACTGTATCCAATCTTCGAAGACTTTCGACTTGGAGTATTGTGGAACATAACTACACGGTCTTGTCGACTAAGTACGGGTTTTATTCTTCAGAGCTATTTAATAGTAAAGAAGGCTTAGCATATTTTAAACTTAATATAAAAGCAGTTTTAACTATGGAAACAACTTTTTTCAATGGACGAAATGATTTAAAATCACCAAAAAGGGAATCAAACCTCCTATATGTAATCCTCACACTTGTAAATTCAATCGGTAAAACAATTATCAGTTATCCTTTTCTCCGAAAAACAACTATTTATATTATTTATTGATTAAGTTCGATTGTTTCAATGGACTTTTTTCAATGGACGAAGTGATTTGAAATCGTCAAAAAGGGAATCAAACCTCCTATATGTAATCCTTACACTTGCAAATTCAATCGGCAAAACAATTATCTGTTATCTTTTTCTCCGAAAAACAACTATTTATATTATTTATTGATTAAATTCCATTGTCTCAATGGACTTTTGATAATTTAATTGTATCAAAATAAATTATAATACAGTCATTGTAATTCAAAGAAAAGCATACAATACAAACGAAACAAAAATATGAAATCAATTTTTATAAAAGCATTTTTAGAATATACTTAGATACTTGATAACTAATGCTAGTTAAAGGCAGTATGAGTTTTGAAAGTACCAATATAAATTAAAGTACTGTGCAAATTTGTATCAATGGTATAAAGTTGGTTAAAATTTATTTTTGAAGTAATATTTCAAAATATATTTGTATTATCTCAAGTGTTTTTGAATGGTAATATTATTATCAAATTGTTATTATTATCAAATGGTACTGAATAGTAATGGTTCTCGATTTTAATTGTATCCAAGTACATTATACATCGTTGTAATTTAAAGAAAAATGTAGAACATAATTGAAACAAAAATATAAAAACAATTTCGAGAAACATACCTTTAAAATATTTTTTGTCTTCGAATTTTAGTTGAGAGAGTTGAATGTACTAAGAGAGTTGAATGTACTAAGTATTTCAACTGTGATTTTATAAACTAAAGCAGGATGAGAATTTATCGAAGATAGAAACGTTTTAAATTTGGTTAAACTCTACGCTTGAAAGAAGTCTTTCAAAAAATACTCATTAATCGTGAATTATCTTTTATAATAATATTCAAAAAATTTAATAAGAATAATGATGTCATAGTTGCATCGAAGTCAGAAAGCTAACTCAATTAAACAAGCTCAATATTTATAAATCAAAATTGATTACTAAACAAAGTCCGAGCTCATGTGTAAAACAAAAATGGTTAAATCAATCAAAATTCATAATCATCATTTCAAATTAATTACATTGAAAGTATAAATATATTTTAACAATGATTTTGTACAATACGCAATTAGTTCATTTCTATGCATTAAATTATTTATGATTCCGTGTAGCCCATTTCTAAACAAGGAAAAAAGTAGCCTGTTTGAAACAAAATATTGATTTTAATCCGCACTTCGATCAAAAAGTTAACTTCATCAGATAATCAACAGGTGTTTAAAAATTAAACTGCTTCTATTCAATAAGGAATGTCATTCAAAAGAAGTTGTTATTATTATTTGTTTAATAAAATGTTAAAATTATAATTATACCATAAAGAACTTATCAATAAAAACTATTAGAAATAGAAAAATTCTATTTAATATTTAAATAAAATTGTATAAATATTAAAAATTCACTGTAAAAGAAAAAAAAATTCATTCTATCTAATGTTCTCTTAAAATAAAAGATAGATACTTCTGCAGATTTTATATAAAAATAAAAATTGATAATCCAAACTTATTTTGAAAATTCTACGTATTTTATGTATCAGTAACTTAAGCGCATAAAAAACAAGAATAAATTTTAGTGTAAATAGAAAGTAATTTTAATTAACATGTTTATATAAAAAATATTTGAAGAATTATAATCATCCCACCTGCTCCACTCGTCCCATTTTTTTCTCCAATTAGGGTTTTATAAAATAAAAGTGTGCTAATATACTTATTCAATTTAGAAAACAATAAAAGAAATTACAAATTTTCAATTTTCAAATTTTCAAAAATTTTCAATTCAGTCTGAGATAACTGGCATTTGCCTTATTAAAACATTCTAATATTCAATAAAGGAATGTTATGATAGATGATCTGTATTATGTTTTAATTTAGTTTCATTCAAACTTAAATTTTATTTAAACACTATTTTTATTTTATTCATAATCTAGTATATTGAGACTATTTTATCCATATTTAATTTAAAGCACACAGAAATATTCTCAACTATTAATAATATTGTATATTTGCAGTTGTTATTTAATTTCGAAAAATATAATATTATCGACTTATAAGATAAAAATTTAAATAACAACCTTTATCCTTTATTAGTACTAATTTCATAAAAAAAATCCATTTTATTTTCATTCTTTAAAATCTTAAGCATTTTCAACCTCTTAATCTAATGAAATGCAATATAGCTTGAAAAATGAATTTATCAATCTTTCCAAATCTCAGAAAATTGAGCTAATTATTAATTTTAATGCAAATTTTTATTCGGGAATTTTTTGATGCAAAGAGATTTTTTTATCCGAACATAATTTATTCTATTTCATTCAATTCTTTCTGTATTACACAATTTGTCTATTACTTGTTTAAATTAATTTTAAAACAATGTTACAAACATTGTTAAATATATAATTTTAAACATAAATTTACCTGATAATTTAAAGCGAAACAATCAGCGCCGTCGTATTCGAGCAATAATATTGATTGCAATCCAGATGACAGTTGGCATGAAAATTAGTAAACACCTTTAAAAGCGATGTTTTGGGTCAAAGAACGGTGCGGCAGATGGTAGACTGCCGCATGATGAAAATTTCAATGATGAATCCTTCCGTTCGTAGGATGCAACCACGTGTGGATTGTCGCTGCTGCGAAGCGACGTCATCCTTTCAATTAGGGCTGCCGGATGAATCGAAGTTATGTGCAATGGCGCCAACCACTTCGCCAACAAACTGAGATCAGAGTTAGAATCATAGCTATAAACCATTATTTATCGAGCTTTTGAGATTAAGTACATTCGAAGGGATTGATACTTATAGTGAAGCTCTCATCTAATTAAATTAATGTTTAATCGAATTTATAGGTGAAATGCCTAAGCAATCATCATTTTTTATTTGCTGAATAATTTTGATATATCTAACAAAGAATAAAGGTATATTTGCAAAGTGTTCTTTAAATACTACCCTTACCAATTATAATCAGTTGCGCATTCATTATTAGCAGCCAAGAAATCAAAAAGCAGGAAGGTAAAATGCAATAATTCTCTCAAATATATCCCCAAATATCACTCTCTATGGTATGCAAAATATATTTCCTCGAGCAAATGATTAAAATAATCGAATTTAGGGCGCAATGAAGCTTTATCCTTCATCAAAACGTTAGATAAACAAAAATTCACCTTGGAAAGCTGAAATTGCAACTTTACACTCGATACGATTGTTATACAATTTAATGTTCAACTAAACAGCTAAAGCTTTAAGAATTTTGGCTCTAATTCGGAGAAAACAATACTGAATAATACTAAAATCAAGGAAACAATTTTAATGGAACCAGAATTATCCCACAGTAAATAGATTTTATAATATTTTTAATAATCAGCGTTGAACAGCCAACCCGAGTCTGAGTTTACGACCACCAGTGTTCAACTAGGTAGCCATGCAATTTCAAACCCAACCCAGAAGACAAGTGAATTCCTTGATCAAGCATTGCGAGAAACTATTGAGGGAAATAACCAGCATTTGCATTGAATGGAGAGGAAAACCACAAAATCCCCCCATGGTTAACCCAACAGCAAGGGGACTCCAACGTATGATACGTCAACCACTGAGAATATTTTACGTCAACACTGTGGTCTGTGTGAGGCGGGAATAGAATTCGCATCAACCAGCCACCTCCAGGATTCGAACCAAGGTAACCTTATTGCGACGCGAATACTCTATTCCCTGAGTCATCACGGCTCTTTAAATAGATTTTGTAATTACTCATGTTATAAAATAATTTTAAAAAGTTAACACCCCATGTAGCACGTAATCTTAGATAACATCAGAAAATCAGAAAATCTAACGTTAATTTGCAAAATTTTCTAATATTAGGTCGACGTTTTCTCTGCATTATATAACGTTAGATTCTATACAAACAAATATTATCTAGCGTTCATTGTAATATTATTTTGCATTCGTTTTTATGCTATATAATATTCGATTTTATATTTTCGTTATTATCTTGCATCGTTTTTTTATTTTTGGAATAAGCAGGAGGAAGATTTGGATGGTACTAGAATAATTCAGCTATATAATTTTACTTAATTTTCTGTATAATTGTGGAGCAATGAAACATAGAACAATGGTTTTATAATGTCATTTCATGCATAATTTACTCAGCAATACAGAAATACTAAATAAAATTATATTATCGAAATCTGCTACCATCCATTTTCCTCCCTTTTACTCCAAAGTATATCTAATGTTCAGCAGATTTTTTTGAATACTTCAGATTTAATTAAGAGATAATACTATATCGCAACTTTTATTGATGTTTTTTTTCTTTTCTTCATGCAATGGGTTTTCTGACGAATTTTATATCATTCATCATTTTAATTTTTTTTTTAGAAATAAGCCTATTTTATCAATATCTCAACTGAATTTGTTAGTTTATAAAACATATTTCATAAAAGTCATAACTCTAGCCATTTGTAATTTCACAATTATTATTCATTATTTATATTCGGAAATTATATAACATAAACTAGGCTGCATAGTTACAAAGTCAAATTGATTTGAAATCTTACCCTTAAAAATTTTTTCCTCTTTAAATATAACTAGATGTTATACATTTCCAAAAAGACTACAATAAAGTTATTTCTTTAATTTTTAAATCGTTTTTTTTAGTTGGAGTGAACATTCAGGCATATTCTGATACGAAAATATATCAAATTCAGTGCTTATAATTTTAATGCATCGCACAAGCTTATATAAAGCCATCAGGAAATTTCTGCATTTTTTTAAACGTCCTTAATAAAAATTTTTACCAACTTTCCAGTTCTGCTCTTCATTCACTATAGACACCATTTTAAATGGATCATATTATTGTTTATTTTTTAATGATTCACAAATTAATTTAAATAATGATGCATCAAAAACATGCAGTTTATATACAAGAAATTTATATAAAAATGTTCAATTCATTATTTTACAATATTTTAAACATAAAATTTTAATAAGGTACCAATACTGCTTGCATTAAACTTTAAACCTTTTGAAATGTAATGGTTTTAACAGAGCTAAAAGTAGCAGATTCGCAATTTTTTAATTGTTTTAACATGGCGAATTTGTTCACAAACAATTATTTTTTATCTTTTTCATTGTTGCAAAAAGTTCTGTCACAGAAGAATAACTAAGCAAACGTTGTCTCACAAGCATATTCTGAGCTAATTACAGTAATAATTATTTATAGTTAGACAATACGTTTTAATAGAAAAGTCAACTACTACGCGCGAGCTAATCATTGTCAATAATGATCCCAATTCATAATATTTACTGACTTTATTAGATACATGATCATTCAATTAATTCTTAAACGCTTTGATTAAGCGGGTAAGATTAGTAAGTACATTAAATGTTTCCATACCATCATCCTCTGCAACAAATCTTGCTTTGAAAAATGCTTTATATTACTTTTCTAGCTAATTTTTAACGGAAAGAAAATACTGCCTACGATATTAATTTAGTGTTTTATCAAAATATTATTTAAATTTATGCAGTTTAATAAAAAAATTACTTAATTATAAATACATTTGAAATGGAAGTGATTAATTATAGCTGACAATCACGAACAATATAGCGATGTAAACAATCATGAAGAAGTTACAATTCAACAGTTGAAAGCATTTTTTCAGTTTTTTTCTTGTTCGTGAACCGAATTTACTTCCACTAATATTTTCTTGCGCTTTCTGGCACAAAATTGCATTGGCTAAAAATGATATTTTACGGAATATTTAATTTATTGTTTTCTTTCATAAATAAGTGTTTATTTATTAATAAAATAGGATGCCCTTTCTCAAAAAAGTGGCGCTGGACCCAAAGTAATGAAATAGATGATAATTTTTAAAGGTGGAATATTAGATAGAATAATAATTAATCTTATATAATGTTAGATGTGATATTAGATCTAATATTAATAGACAGGATTCAGGAATCTAGCGTTTTCCTAGATCGGCAGTATTATATTGCAATTTTCTGATGTTAGATAATATCCTTTTGCTACCTGGGACGTTTCTTTTCATTAATTCTTAATTTTTAAAGAAAAACCGCTTAAAAAAAACACCCACTTAAAAATATTAATTTTTAAGAAAATAATAGCAATTATAATGAAATACGGTTGTCTTACTACATGATATAGTATGTGTTTAAAGAATTAAGCCCTATGAAAATTTTTTATAAAAATTTACTAGACCCCCATTTTACCATGCCATTTACTTTTTCTACATATAATTACGATTTAAAGATAATTTTATTCTAAACTCAAAAGAAACTTACAATTTTTTTAAAACTTCTTTCAGAAATCTTTAAAGAAAGTGAAAAAAAATAATAATAATTAATTGAAGAGCATTATTTTCCAACCAACCGCGAAATTCATTTCTTGCGGTTGACTAATAACTTCCGAAATTTTTTAATCAATTAGCATTTCGTTTTTTCAATTCTTTAATACTTAAGTAACTTAGTTTTAATTTTCAGGAAAATGGTGAACAATTTTTCGTCGTTCAAGGAGAAAAATCTTATTACATGGAATGCAAAATTATTTATAGCTTTTTAAATCGGGAAAAAAGGTTATTAATTCTTCTCATAAGGATCTCTAAATATGAAAAAAATCTTTCCATCTTTTTGCCAAAAATAATGAGCCGTTTTGAACAAAAGTTAAAGAAACCAATATTCCATAACAGTTCCTAATCACGTTCCTTTAATGCAAATTTTATTAGTTTGTGATTAAAAAATGATTTTGTAATTATATGTTATCGTTATTTTTTATGTGATGAAACTGAATTAAAAAGCTGTTCTCAAAAAGGTAATATTAAATTTCAACAAATTTTCATTTAATAAACTTTAAATGTTTAATTTCTTGACACTGTTTTAACTTATGATTTAATCAAATCTTTCTCGAAATTCATTATCATTATACAAATTATTATAATTCAGAAACAGCAAAATAAATAATCTAAATATTTGGTTTTTTATTACTTCCTGGAAAAAAAACTTTTTTTGCATCATTATAAAAACAGTGCTTAAAAAGTAATGTATTGTTAACATTTAAAATTTTTATTTTAAGTTAGAAGTTTTCAATAAAAGAATGCACCCTTTTTATCTTATTTTAAACAATTTCTTAGATATTTTAAGCAATTATTTCTTTCATATTTTAAGCAATGTGCCTGTGCATAAATTATTATTTTTTTAACCAATCTTAATTCAATAATTATTGCTTTAAAATATTAGAAAAACAACATTATATCAATTAATTGTTCTTCATTTTATAGTATTCTAAATGCTGACCAGGTGGCCGAGTGGTTAGCGTGTCTGACTGCGGAGCCATTGGCCGCGGGTTCTAATCCTGATCAGGGCATTGATGTTTCTTTCTCTCTCTATGTTCCATGTCCTTTCCGCTCTGTGTGAATGTGACCCGCCCTGTAAACGTGTTTGTCGTTGTGTGACGTGGGCGACGCTGCTCCACACAGCCGTGGCTTCGCCACAGGTGCCCATTGGGTAACGAGAGGAGAGTAGCAGTTCTGGCATTTCTGTGGCCAATGGGACAAACCCCAAGTGCCCGCCATTAAAAAAAAAAGTATTCTAAATTAGTAAGTAAAAAGTAATCGAAAGTGATAATTCAAGTTTTTAAA